ACAGCTATATTAGAATGCATAAATGGTGTCATAGCAGGTGTGCACAATGCATGATTATGTTCCTGATAAGACTTACTTATAACCCACTGATCGTTTGTATTTGTTGCTTGTTGAAAACATTTTGATGTTTCGATATAACAAATTAAGTTAAATAAATTTTAAGATTTTACAAATGATTTTCTAAAAGTATATTTGATTTAATTACTCGAATATCAAGCTATTACTCCAAGTCTTTCAAGATCAATTTCAAACCTTTCTAAATGTGTAAATTTGTGTTTTATACCTAAACTATTTTTAAACAAATTTTCACAAAGTATTTTGAACCAAAATCAAGCCTAAAATCAATTTTTCAAGGGCATGCACCAATGCACCAATCCATGCATCGATGCATCAATTAATTTCTTGAACATCGAATGCATTTTATGCATCGATGCAATCAGGCTTTTTCAAAACATCGAATGCACTTTATGCATCGATGCACTCTTAGTGTACCGATGCACTAAGGGTCCAACGGTCAAAATATTTGAATTTTACACTGATGCACCGATGCACCATGGGTATGCATCGATGCACTGACGCTCCCAACTGATTTTATTAATTGTTTTCACACTTAAACGACTATATCGACTCCACTAAGCATCCCCAACATTCAGAATCATTTGAAGGTGTATTTAAACAAGCTTAGAAGCCATTGATCAACAACAAGAAACATCAAGCAACTAGAATCAAGATAGAATCAAAGCATCAAACCTCAAGTTTGAGCATTTCAAGCATATTTTTCATTCAATGTTCATTTTGCTTTCAAGAACACTTATTGTACTCAATTATATTTATTCTTAAGTGTTCTTTCTTTGTTCTAGAATTGTGCAAACATATTACCTTGTAAGGTTTTCTTGTAAGTTTGCGAAATTTGTAATCTTCTCTTTGAGAAAGAGTGTTCTCAAGAATTGGGGTATAATTCTTGAGAGAGTTGTAAGGTTGTCTCTTTGGCCTCAAAAGAAAGAACAAATTAGTGAATTTGTTGGAAAATCCTTAGTGTGGATAGCTAAGGTAGTGGACGTAGACTTTGTTGAGAAACTCGAACCACTGTAAATCGCTGTGCAATTTCTTTCAATTTTCTGCAAAAGCTTCCACCAAAATTTTAATTGCCAATTCACCCCCCTCTTAGCCAATTCCATCGATCGATTAACTCAAAAATTGGTACCAGAGCCTCACTCACTTGAAGGTTTAATCGCCTCTTGAGTCGATTCGGGAAGAGTTACATCGATTATCAAATCATCAATGGCCTCCGCTTCAAATTTCGACTCCGGTCTCGATTCGATGCCTGTCAACAAGCCTCCTTTCTTCAATGGAGCAAACTATACCTATTGGAAAAATAGGATGATGTACTTCATTCAAGCAAGTGACATGAGAGCATGGAATGCCGTAGAAGAAGGATACATCAAGCCTGTCACTCATCCAAGATTGTGGAGTGAAGTAGAGACAAGAATGTTCCAGCTCAACTCCAAAGCCATCCATATCATATTTTGTGCTCTTGGACCAGATGAATATGGAAGAGTTTCATCTTGTGCAACTACCAAAGAAATATGGGACAAACTTCAAGTCACTCATGAAGGTACCGATGAGGTAAAGAAATCCAAAATAGTATTCTAACGCATAGCTATGAAAATTTCAGGATGAAACCAGATGAAGATATCAAAACTATGACGGATAGATTTTCAACGATTGTCAATGGTCTCAAATCATATGGAGAGATCATTTCAAATGAAAAGCTTGTGAGGAAGTTAGTCTACTCTCTTCCTAAATCGTGGCAATCAAAGAAGACGGCAATCATCGAGTCTAAGGACCTAACGTCCTTAACTCTTGAAGAGCTAATCGGTTCTCTTCTCACTCATGAAATGATGCTTGATGATGACCTCGATAAGATTGAAGAGACACCAAAGGAGAAGGAAAAGAAGAAAAAATTGGAGTTGCTCTCAAATCTACAAAAGATGAGAGTGATTCGAATGACGATGATGATGACGAGGAAATGACATTATTTGCCAAACGATTCAGAAAGTTGATGATGCCCAACCGAGGTAGAAAATTCAAACGCGATGAAGGTTTCAAAACTGAATCGAAGGAGAAAGACCCAATCATTTACTATGAATGAAAAAAGTCGGGGTATGTCAAATATGATTGCCCACAATTGAAGAAAAAATGTCAATTCAAAAAGAAGCACAAGGCTCATGTAGCTACATGGAGCGATGACGAAGGTTCTGATGAAGAGGAACAAGAAGTTGCGAACTTGTGCTTAATGGCAATCGGAGAAGATTCTAAGGTAACCTCTAACTCATTTGATTCAGATGAATTATCTTATGATGAGTTTCTATTTCCGTCACTGAATTAATTTCCATTATTTTTAATTTTGACTTACAATTTTACGCATGTTCTAATTTGATCACCTGTTTCAATTTGACCACTGAATTTTTAATTTACTCAATTCAACCCCTTTTTATTTTTTATCTTATCTTATCTTATTTAATTTTTTTATTTAATTAATACTACTTTGTTATTTTATATTTTCTTTTTTTTCTTTTTTAACGTTTCTTTCTCTTTCCTTTTTTACCATCATCATTATTATTATTATTATTATTTTTACTTTTCGGATTTTTATTTTGTTTTCCATACATTTCATTATATGTATAAATATAAATATATATATATATATATATTATTCTCATTTTATTTTTATTTTATATTTGTTTTATTTTTATTTTCTTGTTTATTCTTTTTATTTTATTTTTATTTATTTTTCCATTTTTTTTCTTTTCCTTATATTTTTTTCACTTCTTGTTTTGTTTATTATTATTTTTATTTAGTATTTTATATCTTAATCTAATTCGGTATTTCATTACAAATCTAACGTTTCCATCTTTTTAAGGGTCGTTGTTTGAATCAATCAAAATTAAGTAGTTCGAATCGAATACTTTGAATTTTAATTTAATTTTTTTAATTTTCACAAATAAAAACAACCGACAAATTAATTGGTACTGAAAGGGCGGTTCAAGGGTGCTCATCTTTCCTTGACCGTAACCTACTCCCGAACACGACACGTTTCTGGTACAATGCAGATCAGGTAAGATGGTATCCGACCCACCTAAAGTCGCTTTAAAATGGTCGGTGGCAACTCTAACTACAATAATCGAAGTCCAATTTCAGGCTCATCCGAAAGACGGTTACGACAGAACCGTTAAGAATAATATGATTTCTTTTACCACTAGAGCACTTGTGGTTTCAACCACCAATGAAATTTAAAGAAAAGTGAAAGAAAAAAAAACACCCTTCGTGATTAAAATATTATTTTTTTAAGGTCTCATATTTGTATACTATGTATGTTAGACATATAAATACTTAATATCAAATAATTAAATGCCTTTGAACAAATATTATTTAATATTCACTTTTATTAATGAAAAAAAAAACTATCCAATTGAAAAAAAACGTTGGAGATATTTTCGTGGAACATTACAAAGAACACAAACTTCATCCAACACAATATTCCACCCATTGGTTGTTGTATGTAATGCATTTTTACTAAATGAGAAAAAGAAAAGGTTGACTAGACAAGACTCCCCCACTAAATTAATGTTTCAGACACCCGACACCGTGCCCTCTTTTTTGTCATTTCAATCAAATTTGAATTTTTTATTTTTTTATTTAACATATGATTTGATTCATGTTTAAAAAGATTACATTCAATTTAAAATTTGATTTAATTTTTAAGATAAAAATTTATATTTATATCATATTTTATCCGATTCAATCCAACTCGATACAAATATATACATATATATCATTTTTATTAGGTAAAATATGAATTTAATTGAAGAAAATATATAGAGATGTGTATTATAATAATTATATCCGAAGGAATAAGAATAATTTTTTTACCCGGTCGCACACCCGGTTGTAGTGGGCGAGTCTCCTAGCAGGGATTTTCTCTATACATAAGAACTTGAACTCAATACATGCTTAAGCGGTATCAAACTACTTACCAGTTGAACCAACTCCGTCGGTAAAACACAAATTTTGAATATATAATAAAAATATGTTTTTAACATTTTAAATAATTATTTATTTAATTTAAATATATATTATATAAAATTATTATGAAACTGACTCTTATAATATAATTTACTTAATGTATAAAAGTTAAAATTTTGTATAAACTACACATTTAATATCTAAACTATCAGTTTTGATATATTTTAGTACTTAAATTTTTAATTTTTTCAAAATCATACATAAAATTTAGTTTTTTATTTTATTTTTGAATCAAAACTAAAGTGTTAAAAAAATTGAAAATTTAAGTACCAAAACACGTTTAGTATCTAAACCATACTTAAATTTTGAAAAAAATAATTTAGATATTAAAAAGATCAAAAATAATAATTTAAGTATTAAACATATAATTTATCCTAAAATTTTTGATATTGTTTAAGGTCATCGAGCACTAAAATAAAAGTAATAAGTAGAAAAGGAAAGGGAAGAAACGCCCTCCGTAGTCCGTGACTCCGTTCCCACTCTCCAACAAAAAAACGTGGGAGTAATTTTCGTGGAAATTCCAATAAATATGAAAACATGTGGAGACATATTTAACTATAACCAAAATGAGGAATATAAACTTCATCCACACATTGATTGTTAGATGTATGCTTTTTTTTATTTGATTATTTATATTTAATTTATTCATCAACTATTTTTAACTAAATTTTACAAAAAGTCTAATGAAAATGACCCTTTCAATTTAATTAGTAAAATTCGTAAATGTTGAAATTTAAATTATTGATTTTATTTAAGTTATTTAATATATCATTATATTAAAATAATTAATTAAAAAAAGAAAAACATTGCCATTTGTAAAAGCTAGAATGCCCGCCACCGGACCCTCTTTGAAACGGTTGACTAGACTTACCAAGTCTTTGAGAAAGACGTCTGTGGAGCAGTGTAGGTATTAAGTATATAAACCCAGTCAGAGTGGAGAGGAAACAAGTGCAAGATCAGAGAGAAAGACTCACATAGATTGATATGGAGAAAGCACTCAACAGGCAGCAAGTTTTGCTTCATCATTTACGACCCTCTTCTTCTCATGAATCTGCTGCTACTCTCTCTGTAAGATTAATTCTTTGTATTTAGATTTTGTTCTTTTTAATTCCTTCTCTTCTCTTTCTTTAGACAATGGATTTGTTTTCAATTTTATCAGCCATCAAATTGTGCGGCTGGGGATACCGCTGCTTATCACCGGACGGCTGCTTTCGGGGATGATGTTGTGATTGTAGCGTAAGTTGTTTTACAGTTTGTGTCAGGGAATAGTCTCAACTCTCAAGTCCAATATGGCTTGGGAATACCCTGTTTTTACACCCCCAAAAAAAGATTTTCTTCTTTTAATGTTTGCTTTAGTCTGTTAATGTTGCATCTAATAGCAGTAAAATCGTTGTTTTACAGGGCTTGCCGCACTGCAATATGCAAGGCAAAACGTGGAGGCTTCAAGGATACACTTGCAGATGATTTACTTGCGTCTGTTTTGAAGGTTGATGTTGCTTTTGGTTTTTGTATTTTCTTTTACATCAAATTTCTTTCCCCTCCTAACTTATATTAATTCTCAATGCAGGCTTTGATAGATAGAACTAAGCTGAACCCAAGTGAAGTTTCTGATATAGTTGTCGGTACAGTTTTGGCACCTGGCTCGCAAAGAGGAATCGAGTGTAGGATGGCAGCTTACTATGCTGGTTTCCCTGGTTCGTCTATTCTTTCAAATTCCCTTCCCTTGGACCCCTTGTGATTTGTTGTAATTCTAGAGCTTTCAACTGTTCTTTGCCTTGAAAATTATTGAACTCCCATTTCATCTGTTAATTGGTATTGGCATGCTAGATTTGGAGTCATCGCCAAAAAAATTTACTATGTTGATAGTAGAGATATAATTCTAAGTTGCCTTTTCTACTACATATTGCTAATACAATTACCTACGTGAACCAGATAAGGTGCCTATTAGAACTGTCAACAGGCAATGCTCATCTGGCCTACAAGCAGTTGCCGATGTTGCTGCTTTTATAAAAGCAGGATTTTATGATATAGGTAAGGATATTCACTCTCATCTATATATAAATGTGTGTGTGCGCGTATGTATATATGAATGCCGAGGCAGAATTATTTGAATATGTGAGTGATCTTCATGTTGGTTCAATGAAGGCATTGGTGCTGGATTGGAGAGCATGACAATTGACAAAGTTGTTCCTGGGGTTCCCAAAGTTAACCCAAAGGTACCATCAACATATAGTTTGTATTTCACTACTTAGGACATGTTTTACATTAACTTGTTGACATCCAACTGCATTATTTTTAACAGACAGAGGCCTTTATCCGAGCCCGGGATTGCCTTCTTCCTATGGGCGTTACTTCTGAAAATGTTGCAGAGCGCTATGGTGTGACACGGCAAGAGCAAGATGAGGCTGCTGTGAGCCTTGTTTATTTTTATTTTTATTTCAACTTGTTTTTATCTACTGATATAAGCTTAATCATTGTCAGTCTGAAACACCTTCAATGTGTAAAACATAGGTTGAATCTCATAGGCGTGCTGCTGCCGCAACAGCCACTGGTAAATTCAAAGATGAAATTGTCCCTGTATTTACTAAGGTAATTTTGTGCAGTGAATTATTCTGGTTTACATTTTTTATGTTCTTTCATTAACTTTTAATCTGCAAAGGTTGTGGATCCCAAAACTGGAGAAGAGAAGCCAGCTACAATTTCGGTGGACGATGGAATCCGCCCAAACACAAACATGGCTGATCTAGCAAAGTTGAAGCCGGCATTTAAAAAGAATGGGTCCACAACTGCTGGTATGTGATAATGAAAATTGTGAAACATTTTTCTCGACAAGAAAAATATGCAGTTTGAGTGAAAATTGTTACAATTTTTTTCTTAGGAAACGCAAGCCAAGTAAGTGATGGTGCAGGAGCAGTCCTCCTTATGAAGAGAAGTTTGGCTATGCAGAAAGGACTTCCAATACTTGGTGTTTTCAGGTAATGGAAACTGCTTATGGAGTTCCTAGCACATATATAATAGTGCATAGTTAGAAGCTACAAGTTGGGTTGGGACTTGGTTTGAATTTGAAACTTAAAATAATTCTTGTAGAAATAATTTTCATAGTGAGGGCAAAATAATCGAAGATTACCTGAAAATCTCTTATATAGTGTCAGTGTTTGCATATCACCTTAAGCAGGGATGGACCCAAGGGGACTGGCAGGGGCAGTTGTCCTCATATATTTTAAGTATGTTCTTATTATTTTTATTAATAATTTATTTTCGCTTCCCCTAAAATTTTATAAGTTCACTCACCCTAATATAAAATCTTGCGTCCGTCCCTAAGCTTAAGTAAGCATGAAGCATGCATTTCTAACAAGTTCGCCAAGCTTAGGGCTTGACAAATTTAGGGTCAAAAGTAGACAAAGACATTTGTTGCACTCCGTAATCAGTTCTTTTTCTAATCTTGTCTAGCTTAATATAAATTGGCATCTGTAATCCCCTCACACTGCTTTCTTGTGCTCCCTTTTATAGAAGTTTTGCTGCTGTTGGTGTGGATCCTGCTGTGATGGGCATTGGCCCTGCTGTTGCTATACCAGCTGCAGTCAAGTCTGCAGGTCTTGAGCTTGATGATATAGACCTGTTTGAGATCAATGAGGTAGGTTTCTTCGGTTGATTTTATTCTCAAGGTGAATCTGATTTGAGTAATTTAGTTTTACTGTATTCTTATCATGCAAAATCTATTTTTCCTCAGGCATTTGCATCTCAGTATGTATACTCTTGCAAGAAGTTGGGGCTAGATCGTGAAAAGGTAAACGTTAATGGAGGTGCAATAGCCCTTGGGCATCCTTTGGGTGCTACAGGTACTCATCTGACACAAATTTTGTGACATATAACAACAATTGCTCGGTTTATCCACCCTTCTTGCAGCATGGAAGTGAACATGTATTACTGTATAAACAATATACCTGTTCTAACTTTCCGGGAGGCTAAGCATCGCCATGATAGAGATCTATTAACTAAGACATTGTTTTGTTTATCAGGTGCTCGCTGTGTCGGAACACTATTGTACGAGATGAAGCGTCGTGGTAAGGACTGTCGCTTCGGAGTGATCTCGATGTGCATAGGTATCTCTCTCTCCCCAACACAATACGAAAAACCAAAGAGCACTTCTTGATCCTTCATAATTGAATCGAAATGGCCTGGTTCATTTTCTTTCTTTGTCATTGCAGGCAGTGGAATGGGGGCTGCTGCTGTTCTTGAAAGAGGGGACTGCATTGATGAACTCTGCAATGCTCGAGCTGACAAAAGTAACGGGCTTCTTTCCAAGGATGCTCAATAGATATGTGTTTGTTGGTATCTTAAATGTTTGCTTTTTGTATTCAATAGAACTTTCAATATTCCAAGCAAGTAGTCAAATAATTAAGCCGATTTCAAGATTCTTGGAATGATTTTATTCAAATATACTTGTTCATGTTTGCCTATTAGCCAGAGATAATTCTGAAAAATGCATAAGCTAGCATATGACCATACTAAGCACATTTGTAAAATGCTTTAGGTGAACTAAGTTATGCTTATTTTTTTTTTTATAGGAACTAAGTTATGCTTATTATTTGTTTGTTCTAAGCTTTCCTAAGCATAGGATGAGGGAGGAAAAGTTTTCATCAGAGTAGGGTTCTAAAGGAACTAAATCAAATCAACTCAAACCTGTGATGCATCACTTTGCCTGAGAAAGTACATCAAAACTGTGGCATGATTGATGCCAATTTGCATAGTAACTTGAACCATGCTGGTTAATGAGAAGCAAAAGCATTCAACTCGCAAAACTATGATACGTATGATCAAATCATTAACCATTACAGAAATTGTGTCCAACTCTGTCCTATTATGATAAGATGCTTCCTAAAATGCCAGATTTCTCATTAAAACTGAGAATTCAACATGGAATCAATACCACTGAAAGGGAAGAACATAAAAACAGGAAGGATCTGACAAACTTATTTTGGATCTGGTGAGCCTCCCGGGGCCAGCTGCAATGTACAAAAGAACTATTATTAGAAATTTTGATACTGAATTAACTTGCAATTCTTCATGTTGGGCGGCATTTGGTTTCCCTTAATATGCAGCTTTTGGATCAAGCAGGCAGGCAATCTACTGTAAACCAAAATAAATATGCCAATCTAAGTATGGTCCTATGAGTATTAACTAAATCAGAAACAATTTAATCTTACAATGGCAATGTAGTTTCCATTAAGGAAAATTTGATCAAGCTTTGTGATCCGTCGTCCTTCAGAAGTGATCTCACTGTGATATGCAACAGAAACAATAAAGCAATCAAGATTAACAAAAAAAAAGGGATACACATTCTCCAATTACTTATGCATGCATACAAGCAAGGGACAGATATGTGTCTAGGGGGGGGGGGGGAAAGCAAATCACAACACATCTAGTATATCACTATTCTTTTCAAGCATGTGACTAAAAAGAAACAAACACCTAGTCGCTCTTGGAAGAAAAAATCCATTAAATTATAAAAGAAATGTGAAGAATGTGTATGATCAAGCGATGAATATCGATTTGGAAACAATGTAAAAGAATAAGAAGTGTAGTCGGATAAGTGATCAGAAATCCATCCCAAAACAATCTTTTTGTCTACATAGATTGCTAGTTCTTAAACGTTCCTTCTGTAAGGATGACTCCAATACAAATTTATCAGTTATCAAAATGATTTGCTGAAAAACATGAACTCCAACTGAAGGCATGAATTTGGTGAAGAGTTTTCTAAATCACACTCCATCCAAACAAACTTACAAGCCATCTCAGTTTCTCCAGTTAGTTATGTAGAAATCAGAGTAATTCTCTGTAATTTCTTATTCTTTTCAATAAGACAGATTACATATTTATATACAAATCATCTCTCTAAAGTAGGAAACTCTAAGAAAGGAAAGATACTAATCCTAGGAGATATGATCCCTTAAAATAAGGGATTGTAGAATATTTACAGAATCCCTTAATTAAAGGATATTTACAAAATCATATATTTCTATAATTCCTACACTCCCCCTCAAGCTGGAGAATATACATTGTATAATCCCAGCTTGAATAGGAATTTATTGAAAACAGGCTTTGGCAAAGCCTTAGTAAGAATGTCTGCCACTTGTTCTTCTGAAGGAATGTATGAAAGTGTGACTGTTTTTTTGTTAACTTGATCAGCAATAAAATGCCTATCAATCTCAACATGCTTTGTTTGATCATGTTGAACTGGGTTCTTGGCAATTTGAATAGCAGATTGATTATCACACAAAACTTCAAAGTGATCCTCTTGATTAGTGACAAGTTCTTTCAGTAGTTTAAGTAGCCAAATTCCTTCGCATATTCTCAATGCTAGTGCTCTGAATTCAGCTTCAGCACTACTTATTGAAACAACAGATTGTTTCTTACTTCTCCAAGTTGTAAGGTTTCCCCAAACAAAGGTGCAGTAGCCACTAGTGGATCTCCTTTCAGTAAGGTCTCCGACCCAACTAGAATCTGTAAAGATCTTAACAGTTCTATCTTGTGTCTTCTTAAACATTAAACCGTGTCCTGGAGTTTTCTTCAAGTACTTGAGAATTCTATTTGTTGCTGCCATATGCTCTTCAGTAGGATTAGTCATGTGTTGATTGATCATATTTACAGGAAATGATATATCTGGCCTTGTCAAGGATAAATAAATTAGTTTCCCAACTAATCTTTGAAATTTCTCTTTGTCTACTAAGGACTCATCTTCTTTATTAAATTTCAAGCTTGCCTCCATTGGTGTATCATTCGGCTTACAACCAAGAAAACCAGTTTCTTTGAGTAAATCAAGTACATATTTTCTTTGGTTGATCACAAGTCCTTCTTTTGACCTTGCCACCTCCATTCCTAGGAAATACCTTAGTTTTCCCAAGTCATTGGTTTCAAATTCCTTATTTAACAACTTCTTCAAAATGCAAATCTCTTTTTCATCATCTCCGGTAAGAATTATGTCTTCCACGTACACAATAAGGATAACTTTCTTATTTGTAGAAGTTACCTTGATGAAAAGAGTATGATCGGCGAGGGACTACTTGTAGCCATTTTTTAGGATGACTTTAGTGAACCTCTCGAACGAAGCTCTGGGTGATTGTTTTAACCCGTATAGAGACTTATTGAGCTTGCACACCTTGTTACTTCATTCAATAGACTTTAAGCCATGTGGCAACTTCATATAGACTTCTTCTTCTAGCTTGCCATTAAGAAAAATGTTTTTTTACATCAAGTTGGTGTAATTTCCAATCGCAATTTATAGCCAAACTTAGGAGTACTCGAACAGTATTCAGCTTTGCCACAGGTGCAAAAGTTTCTGTGAAATCTATCCTATATGTTTGTGTAAAGCCTCTGACCACTAGTCTCGCTTTGTATCGTTGGATGCTACCATTGGAGTTATACTTTACAGTAAAGATCCATTTACAGCCAACAATCTTTTTTCCTTGAGGAAGGTCCGTAACGGTCCAAGTAGCATTTTTCTCTAGTGCACAAATTTCCTCTTCAACAGCCCTTCTCCATTTTGAATTCTTTAGAGCTTCAGCTATGCTTGTAGGAACCTGTTCTTTATCCAAGTTTGGTGTAAATGCTTGAAAAAACGACATCAATGAATTAAAACCGGCAAAATTTTCAATAGGATGCTTGGTGCACTATCTAACCCCTTTTCTAATAGCAATAGAGAAGTCATTTAGAGTTGGGGAAGTGGACTTACTGATTTCTTCTTTTATTTCGGCAGCTGGACCCAAATCCAATTCTCGGCAAGCATCAGATTGCAAAACAACCTCAGGAATATATTTTCTTTTCCTTGTATAGAAACAGATATATTTGATTGGTGTTGTTTGTGGAATATTTTGAATGAGAGTAGGTGTATTTCCAGGAAGGGTATTTAAAGTGGGTATGGGTGAAGTAGTGATAGGTACTACCGGTGGATCAATTGGAGTAGTTACAGGTGACAAATTTGTAGGTAAGGACAAAATTGGTGGCAATTCTGAAGGTTGAGAATGAAGAGTAGGAGGAGATAACTGATGTGGCTGAAAATCCTTCTATGTCTCCCCCTAAATTTCAGCCTGAGTGATGTAGGGATCCTGCTCATAAAATGTTATATTCATAGTGGTAAAAAATCATTTTGAAGGAGGATGATAGCATTTATAACCCTTCTTAAGTGAAGAATACCCAACCAGTACACACTTTAATGATTTAGAATCTAACTTGGACTTATTAGGAGCAATGTTTTGGATAAAAACAATACAACCAAATATTTTAAGTGGAAGAATAGAGGAGATAGGTTTAAAATGGGGAAATTATTGCAAAAATATAGATTGAGGTGTTTGAAATTGTAAAACCTTACTAGGCATTCGATTGATTAAATATGTGGCAATTAATAAGGCTTCCCCCACAAATATTTTGGAACATTAGTGGTAAATAGAAGAGAACGAGTAACTTCAAAGAGGTGTCTATTTTTTCTTTCGGCAATACCGTTTTGTTGTGGGGTGTCAACACAAGAACTAATCTGAACTATGTCATTTTCCCTGAAAAACGCACCCAAAGACTTAGCAAAAAATTCACTGCCATTATCAGATTTAAAGAGCTGAATTTTAGACCCAAATTGAGTAAGAACCATTTTATAAAATTGGGTAAAAACACCAGCAGTTTCATATTTATCTTTTAGCAAATAAGTCCAAGTTATCCTACTGTGATCATCAATGAAAATGGTAAATCACTTACAATTATCAACATTCTTCACCCGAGAAGGGCCCCAAATATCATTGTGGATCAAAGCAAAAGGGTGAGAAGGCTTATATGTAGAAGGAGAATAAGTTGATTTAATATGTTTGGCAAGAGAGCAAACTTTGCCAGAATTTTTTTTTGGTCTTTTATGAATGAATAGAGCAGGAAAAACTTTTGCAAGATAGTGAAAACTAGGATGACCTAAACGATAGTGCCATAACATAACATTATCAATTTTTTCTAAAGCGGTGAAAGATTTTGAGATTTCGATTTTAGTAGAGGCATGAAGAATGTAGAGACCATTCTGAAAGCTGGCATTACCAATCATCTTCTTCGAGTTCAGTGCCTGCAAAGTACAATCAATATCATTAAAAATTGCAGAGCAGTGCAAGTCGGTGGAAAGTTTACTAACGAAAACGAGATTGCAAGCCAGATTTGGTACGAAGAGGATATTTTTAAGTACAGTCTGGTCATTGAGAATAACATTGACATGTCCTTCTATTTTGCACAACGAACCATCAGCTGTTTTGATAGCTTTACCAAAGTTTGGAAAAAAATTGCAAAACAAATCCTTATTACCAGTCATATGATCCGTAGCACCAGAATCGATGATCCAATTAGGGGTTGACTGGGAGGAGAAAAAAACTGTAACATGAGGTTTACCTTCTGGTTCTTTCATGACTAGATTACCTTCTGATTGAGCAGCAGAACCAGAAATTTTCTGGATTCAAAGTGATCTCCGAAGTAGGAGAAAAAGTTGTGGACAACGTCTAGGATAGAAAGAAACCGTAACCTAAGCTGATACCA